GTAACACTGTTGGACGATCTCTTTCCCCTGGACAACAGAAGAAGTGCAGTGACACTGCCTTCCTTTAAGAGCCCGTCTTTAACCCTGATAACTTTCCGTTATTCCTGTGAGGTTGTGTCACAGCGTTCCTTACTGTGCCGAAAACGAGCCTCAGCCCCTCCTTACTCTTCACAGCCACACTGAAATGAAACTATTTAAAACATGTACTGCCAGACTTCCTCACCTCCCCAGAGAGCTTCACAAACTGCTGAATTCGAACCTGTTATTTAAGATGCATTCAACGTCAACTTTCCAGCCTACTGTGGAAGACAGGTAAGTACAAGGCCAGAGAAGGGATTAGTGGTGAGGGGGAAAAGGAAGGACACACAGACGGCACTGGATAGGAGAAAATGTGCCTACATAACCCAATTACTGTATGGCCCGAAAGCAAACGTAGGCCACAGGCCAGGTAATCTCATCTTAATCATCTTCCTCCAATGTCAGCACAGTCGATTATAACACCAGAAACACAGCCACGTGGCTCTGAGGCAGGGAACACTCCACAGATCAGTTTTTATTCACCTTAAATTAAATCTGTTCACAGTGACTTGTTATTTTAAATGAGGATTATTGTAATGTAGCGTCATCAGTGCAAACACAGAGGTAATAAAACAGCTGTCGTGGCTGAGAAGCAAATAAAAGAGTCAGTTTTGTGTCACAGAGGCGAATCCCATCAGTGCAAGTGCTTTAAAACACAGAAGCTTCACAAATAATGCATTAGCTGTGCCTGCTCAGCTGACACCACAGCAGCTATGCCTGCTTTTTCTCTAATAACGCCAAGCTCTGCCCACGTGACAGCCTCACCACAACTGAGTGTGAACGCATCTGCGTGTAAATAACACGGCAGTGAAGTAACAATGCTAGTGTCACATCGACCGTCACGGATCCTGATGTGAGGAACACACAATACGGGATAAAGGCGGCCGTTTGCTGAGGGAAAGCCGTGCAATGATGTCATGGCATACAGACCATCGCCTCCAGTGCATCGCGACAAACTTCATTTAAAAACTGGCAATTTACGCCGGCGTGTTCGCGGGTAAAGACGAGCGCTGGTTTCAACATGACGGCAGGACATTTTATCACTCGGAACATCCTCTGCTTTTCGGCACCAATTCCATCATATTGAAGCGCTAGCTAACAAACACACGCTTGGTTCATCTGCCATTACCCATTTCTCCCCCTGACAAGAACGCCGTATCATGCTGTTAGCAAAGAAGATCAGTTGTATTTAGAGGAAATCACACAGTCGTGTTTATTAATGTGATATGATCCGAATAAAGATGCACAGTCACAGTGATTGGTTCGAGTGTGTACCGCTGCTCTAAGACGTGCACACCTTCTTATATAAATACACGAATGAAAAATCGACGTTTTGTTAATGGAGTTTGGCGTGTGACCGCTTGGCATCACTTTTCTCAGGCGCGGAGAGCTAGGGTTACTCACATGAAGGAATAAAACTGCGCCCCGGTCAGTTTCAGTGCGGTTCACCTGCTATATGACCCACACATGAGGCCACGTCCTCCGGACAGCGCTGACAGGGCGGCTGTGGCAGAGCCCCGCCGTGTCTGGCTCCACACACACCGAAGAGACGCGGAGCTTCAACGCCGCGCTGACAGTTCAGCCGGGGTGCTGGGTACCGCTGCGGACCGCCGAACCGCTGGCGTCAGGTTACGCGAACAGTAACACGGCATTTCCGGTCTAGACTTTCAAAGTAAAGCTCTATTAGCGTCAAGGGAACGTGCCACTGTTGAGAACATTTGCACTATTAAGGCCAATTTTAACTGAATATGAAAGTCCATGAAATACCTTAGAAGTGCAGTTTTACAATTAAACCCAGTTATGAAAAACAAATCTCTCTGAACTCCTGGTGACAGGCATGTATTTTATTTTGAAGGTACATTTG